ATAAAGAGCTTCTTCCTGCAGGGAGTAACCCACACAGAGCCCTAACACAGCAGCCAAACAGATGTTTCTGAATGATCAAATGTCCCCATCACTGGGGCTTGACACTTGGAAGCAGAGTTTCTGTCAAAATAGCACAAGCAGTGCCAGCTCATTCGTGCAAGACTTCAGAGGCCTGTGGGAATAAGGATCCCTTGGCAAATGCAGCACAACATGCAAACAGGGCATGGCTTGGGGTGGGGGGGGAGAATTTTCATTGGCCCTGGTCTGTTCCAGCTCTTCCAGCTGAACCAAAGGGCTGCAGAGCTGGGGATCAGGGGAAAGCACTCCTGCAGATTGTGCAGGGGTCTTCATCCAAACCCCAGCTCAACCAGAGATGAGCCTGCAACCCCGTGACAAGCAATTACATCCTTGTTAAAGCAGACAGGCCAGAACTGACGTAAAGTATAACATGAAGAAAGAACAGAGTTCATGTCCATGTTAAACATCTGCTTAGACAGCAGGGAAATGCCCAGAAAATGCCAGAGTGCAATTCCAGAGCCCCAGGTACACATTCACTTGCTGATGGCAGCAAAGCTCTTGAGGTGCTGTATCAGTTCCAAAACAACAGAGGCCCAAAGTCCATTCCTAGCACAGCAGGGTCACTCTGCTCCTTTGCCTTTGGATTGAGAGGCAACTGCTGCCTGCCTGCATGCCAGAGAGCACAAGGAGAAACAAGTTCTTGGCTCTCCAATGTCCAGAGCAGCCTTGTAAATGCTCTGGCAGACACGTAGTCATTCCCTGAGATGATGCACATGCAAACCCAAGTGTGTGGTCTGTAAGAAAAAGCTGTTTGGAGATGCCATTTGGAAAAGCTGAGATCAGACTGAAAAACATAGTTTGCACTGAGGCTCAGAACATCATTCAGTTTAAGCACATTTTCAATGGAACTGCAAAAAAAAAAAAGAAAACAAACAAAAAAAGAAGCCCCAAGTCCCAGATACAACACCTCATTAGCAAATTCCTAGTCTACCAATGAGACCTGAGAGATGTGTAAAAAAGAATGCCTGAAGCAAGCCAAAATGATTCAGCCAAAACATTAAGGCTAGATTCTTAAGGAAGCAAGGATTATAGGATCATACTGTGACTCCATGTCCTCTTTACCCCCTACATCCTCCTCTGATCATTTCTTATGTTCATCAGCTTAACTTCAGCCACATTTGAGAGCACTGGAAGTCTCAAAGGTACCAAACCCCTCTCAGTTTCAGGCTCTCAGGTAGGCAGGGGACACATCCTCAGGGACTGAGAAGCTGAGCTTCCCCTACTGGACACCAGAAAATCCATTCAGAGGACAGAGGTTATGGATGCCTCAACACCAGGGGCTCCAAAGTAGCTCTCACAGGAACACACAATTTTTCTCAACCTTTGCCAAGTCTCCACCACCCACTTTTCTACTGTTAATGCTTCCTTTGGAAGAAACCAGACATTTTAAGCTTCCATTTCCAAATAGATTTTACCACACAATTAGGAAATGCAAGTTCTCTTTTCCTCTTTGGGAAACATTTCTTTTTCAGACCACTGCTGTATTTGACACAAATGCACTGTTTAACATTAAATCCAAAACCAGTAAAGATGGCAACACTGCTCCAGCAAGAATTCTGCAGTTGCAGGGCAGCCAATCAATATTGTATTTCACCTCAGATGTGATTACCATTTCTGTCTCAAAAATAATAAAATTTGACCTGTCTAGTGATTAAACCTGTTTCTATGGCAACATTCTGAAACCTCAGTCAATGTAAATATCCCCTGGCTCATTCAATAAGGGTCTCTTAAAGATAACATGGTAAAGATCCATTTGTGGCCACCTTGCTTCTCTTTCTGCTGAGCCAATTAGTGTTACAGAAGAACCACAAGGTAGAGAAACCAAATAAAAAGCAGAAGTGAAGAGAATGAGCCATTTGCAACACTTCTCCATCTCTCAGATGGAGAATTATGACAGAGCAGATATTCATGACAGCCTAAAAGGCACATTTTAAAGAACTTAAACACTCAGGCTGGCCCTTGGTGCATTCTATTGAGCATTTTAAACGATTAATGGAGACGACTCTTTAAAAGAAAGGCATGCAATGCATAAAAACTCCTATATCTCTTAATAGAATGAATCTCTCCACTCATTTGTATTGACCACAAATTTCATACAAATGATATTCCACACTGATAAAAAGTAAAACCAGAAATGCCAGGGATGTAATTTTCCTAGTGACTGTTAAAAATGTATTAATGTAAGTCATTGCACATAAATGATTAATGATTCCCTGAAAATAAATTCAACATGGACTAGTATTAGACAAGCTTGAATGGTTTTTCAATAAAACTCTTTGGCTGTTTCACAACTACAGAAATAAGCCATAGGAGCTCCCCTGGCTCATGTGTGCCCCAGTCTGGTGGCAGTGCAGAGCCAGGCTGGGTGCACTGTTGTGTTCAGGACATAAATGAGAGCTGTCCCTGGCCACTGCAGGTCCCCTCTGCTTAGAGGGCTCAGCTGCACATTTCAGCAGCCTCTTGAACCTTATCTTCTTCTTACACTGAACCTGAACACAAAGAAAACAGGCAGAATATAACCAGTGTGACTCTGCTCACAACTTGATTGTAGCTTGATTCTGCATTTATAAGAAATCTGGAAATTAAGGCTCATCATCTCCTCTTGCTGGGAATTAGCAGGTCTGTACAGAATTCAGAATTATGCTGCATTTATAAGCAGTATTTAATAAGGATCTGTGTTAGCCACGATGCTGTTGAGAAGACAATGAGAAAGGAAAACCAGAATTATCAAGTAAAGAAACAATAGTGTCTGTAAAGTAATGAATGAGTCCAAGCACACCTTCCCTCACTCCAGAGCACAAGGCTGGCTCGTCTCCCACGAGGGCAGAGATGCCATCCCATAGACGGCCTGTTGTTACAGATGCTCCTCCATCATCAGGACCAAAAGTGGCTGGAGGCAAGCCAAGGTTAAAAGGAGACCAACAGAAATAAAACAGCAGCAGGAGAGCTGAAAGAAGATTGGCACATTTTACAGCAAGCAGGCTGATTATGCAGGAAACCACAGAGCCTCAGCTCAGCCTTGGCAATAGCTAAAGGTCACCCTGCTGCACAGGATGTGCCCCAGGGGACCTGCAGCACTGCAGAGGAGGAACACATCAGTGCCTTCAGGTGAAAGAAAGCAGGATGTTCAGCCAGGAAAACGATGCTAAAAATACACTTTCTGAAGGCAGGTGAGGAAGAAATGGAGAGAAGTGGACAAAAGGGAAATAACAGGTCACTAAGCATTCATATCAAAAATACCACAGGCTACAGGCCTTCAATCCTCCTCGTTAAGGCACCAAAAGGGTGAAGAAGGAAGTGTTGGCCTTCAGCATTTTAGCTGGCATGTGATTTACCCTACAGGAAAATGCTTTGAAGATATCCAGGAGGCCTTTTTTTTTTTTTTTTTACTGACATTAGTGCCAGTGGCAGCACAGCCCTCTTGGGGCCCTGCAAGGCAAATGCATCCTAGAATGACATTAATTTGAATTAACTATCAGCTTCTATACAGCTGTTAAACTCTGCACATGAGCCCTTCTGTAGATGTGAAGTTCAAGTCAGGGTTAAGGGTGAATTTGCAATGTAAAATGTGACTATACTGATAATGACTTTTTAGCACAGAGCTATAAATTTGAAAACGAACCCCTGAGTGATAATGGCAAAGGAAGGGGCAATATTGAGTATTTGAACCAGATGCCTTGATTCCAATGGCAGAGAAAGATTCAGTTCACAGGGACGTGAGAACAAAAGCCATAAACATGAGACAATAATTGAGAGGTGGCTTTCACAAAAAGATGTTCTTGTTGATGAACAAAGGGGTCCTTTAACTACACACGATTATTTCTCCTGTATTTCTGTGGAAAAATCATCTTGACTTCGTTACTGAGCTATTTCTCACCAAAATCCTCATTAAAAGGAGAGTCCCAGAGATTTCATGTTATTCCAGCTAACGATACCACACTTAGCTCCAGTGGAGACTCTGGGATTGAATTACCCTTCACCATTCAGCCTCTTAATTGAAATTTGTCATTCTAACCACCCCAGAGCACATTCAGCAGTTTCACTATCATCTACTATAATTCTGAGGTTGACATAGGAAACATGGCATAGAAACACAAGACTCAACTTTAAATTGGCTAAAATAAAGTTTATTTTACTGTTACAATATATAATCTTTTATTAACACAACTCACGAGGTGTTTACAAAATAATCTCATTTTCTGCTGCATTTTAAACACTACTTTTATACAAACTTTAAAGGTAAAATAGGAGTTTGTAGCTAAAAAGGCTTTTTGTTACATATTTAGAAGCATCATGAGAGTTACTTCAAACAAAACTCTTTTTTTCTTATGGTGCCACCTTCACAGACAGAACAATGTTTATTGTAAAGACCTGAGGGAGGATTCATGAAAGCTTTCTTTAGAAAAGGATGCCAGTCCTCTTTGGCTGACAGTGAACAAACACATTTGAGCCCCTGCAGCCAGGAGGGCCAATGGAATCTGGGAGTGCTTTGGGAAGAGTGTGGCCCCAGGCCAAGGGAAGTGATCCCACCCCTCCACTCAGCCCTGGCACGGCCACACCTGAAGTGCTGTGCCCAGTTCTGGGATCTCAGTGCAAGAAGGACAAGGAGCTCCAGGAGAGGGTCCAGAGAGGCCACAAGGGGTTGCTCTGCTCCTTAGGGACACCTAAATGTCCCTCTCTGCTCCTGGCCATGTCACCTCCATGCCTGACTGGCTGCCAGGGGCTTCCAGGTCTGGATGGAGCTTGGGGTCACTGCCCCGGTGTCCCCAAGCTCCAGAACCCCTGGACAGCTCAATCAAACCCTCACCCCTGCACTTAGCTCAGTCGCTGCTGCTGCCTCACCAGCTGACTGAAAGAAAGAAAGGGATCTGAAAGAAGAAGGAAATTCTTTACATTGAGGGTGGCAGAGCACTGAACAGGCTGCCCAAGGAGGGTGTGGAGTCTCCCTCTCTAGAGACATTGCAAACCCACCTGGACACATTCCTGTGTCTCCTGCTCTGGGTGACCCTGCCTTGGCAGGGAGGCTGGACTGGATGAGGGCTGTCCAACCCTAACACTTCTATGGTGCTGTAACTTAGGTGCTCTGAAATGCCTTACAAAGGAATCTCTTCCCTTTCCCTGCACTGACTGTAGGAGAGGGAAGGAGCCTGGTGCCCAATGGAAGCTTTCATGAATCCCCACACTGATGAACCACTATGCAGCATGAGCATAACACACAGAGCCCTCTGGTCCTTAATGTTGCACAAATGCTTCTTCACACAGAAGAAAATTCGAAGTGTTACAGGTGTCACCAAACCTAATTTTAACATGTTAAAATTAAAGTCACCTAATGTCCTCTGTGAATCTGGTAGTAACAGGCAGGTATTACATTACTTAACCCTGATCTCCACTACAATGCACTAAAACACCTTAGAAAGAGTGGGAAAAGTGACCATTTTCACAGCTGCTGGAGAGGTATGTGCTAAAGTGAATGGATTTATGTGTCTGACAGTCAAATCAGTTGACAGATTTTACATGATAGCAGATTGACAGTGATTACTTTATATACAGCAAGCAGGTAGAAAGAGGTGCTACTTTTATTTTTTTTTTCCATGCATAGTTTAACCAGCTTACAGCCAGCTCATCTCCATTCAGACTGGAGACGCATGATCCACCATTTGGTATAAGCCAAACTACCAGCAAATATATTTCCAGTGCAAACAAAATTGTCTTTCTTCAAGAAAAACAACAAATTTAATGCTACTTCTCAAAAAACAATGCTTATGCTGCATTATTTTCTACCTATTTTGGTCTGCATTTCTGAAGTTTCCTTCCTCTCCCCAAATCACATCCAAAGGCAGATGATCACAGTATATTTTTTTTAGGCAAATGACTGTCTCTTCCCCAAAACAAACTATACTGCTCATTGAAGACCATCCCTGAGAGCACTGTTCTAGCTAGACACTTAGACAGCCAGAGAAATCTCAGAGCTTAGAGGAAAAAAAGGCTGTTCACCCTGTGAAATCTTGTGGTTTTAGAAAGTAAAAAAAAAATTAGCTACTTGGAGCATTTAATTTCCCTGAGCTGAGTGAAATTTGAAGACAGTAATCAGTAACATGAAGCATAGCAACATCTACAGCTGTACTTAGAGAAGCTGCAAGTTTTTGCAGTGGTGAAGTCAGAGGTTACATTACAAGCACACAGCAGTGAGTGGTGGTTCCTTTCACTCGCTTCCTGCCACAGGAAACGCGACGGCTTCTTTGGTGAGAAACAGCACTGAAGAAGCTCCAGGACTTCAGAATCTTTTGCCTTCTGATATTCCAGACACCTTTAAGTTAGTGGAGACACCACCAGGCCGTAGTGCAGTACAAGTAGACCATCCTAGAGAGAAGAGAAAGAAAAGAAGCTGTCTCACAGTAGCACTTTTCCTTCTCCCCAAGGCATTTCTGTCACCAGCTGGTACAACTGCTGCATGGCAGGACCCCAGGCACAACCTCAACAGTTGATACTGTGTCCCTTTCATATGGAGAATGCAAGCTTTGAAGTATCAAAATACTTCAAATAACTGTACTCTCCTCTCCTCTTTGAGATGGAAAAGTGTGGTAAAAAAAAAGGTAAAATCTGGTAGTGCTTTTATAATAAAGCTACAATGGCATTATCATCATACAATAGGCTCTTGGTTACAAGTCATGCTGATTTCCACATGGCATTGTGGAGCAGAAAGAAATGTAATCCATTAAGTAGTTCTGGAAAGTGCTGCCAAAAGTTGCAGCACAAGAATTCCAGACTACTACTATATACATTTATTAAGTAATAAATGAATTGGATTAAAAAAAACTGCAAATGACAAACTATTAGTTTATTAACTCATGTTTCTCCTCTTCAAAGACTGCTTGACATAATAAAAAATCCCTTCACCTGTGAAACAGGACACTTCTGAGCCATTAGTCTTACTTGTGTCACTTAATTCACAGGCAGCTGCTGAAAGGCCTAGCACTTAGTGTGCTTCCACCACAGAGCCACTGGGAATCTGACACTGCATTACACCTACTTATATGGACAGACTTTAAAAAAAGTTCTTTTGTGAAGAGTGAACTACATTAATACCAACTGATGTGTTAGAATTTTTAGTGTATTTCACTTCAGATGTTTTCACCTGTTAAGACACAGGCTGTAAGATAATGTATAAGTACCAACTCACTAACTTTTCTTCATCTTCCTACCCTGTTAATAACCAGGAACTCATTGCTAACTCCTGAAAGGATACAGGAGCTTTAACTCACTAGGTGATCAGCATAAATTGGGATAGCAGCACTGCAAGGCAGAACAGGTTCTAAGAGGTTACTCAGGAACCTCTTGGAACATGAAAACATTGTTATACCTCCCCAAAGGTACTTATTCCTTGTGCCCATTAGTCCCTTCAAAAGAGAAAATAAGACACATTCAAAACTTTATTTTTGGAGAAAAATGTGGTCAAAACCAGTTTTTCCTCTATTTTCCAGTTTCTTAAAGAAAATAAATATTTATACAAGAAGAAAATGCTACAATGTATTCTTTGATGAATAATTTTGAAATAGTACATTTGGCAGCAGGACATTTAAAGGAAATAGCCCTGCTAAACCCAAGGCCAAAACCACTGCAATTCCTTCTCTACAAAGAGAAGTTGAGAGTTACCCCAGTACTGACACTTCTTACTCTGTAATTATTCACTTGTAAAGGATTACACATTTCTATCTATGCTCAGCTGCTTTCTCTAGATACTGTTATTAAAAGGAAGTCCAAACAAAGAATGAGCTCTCACTGCCCATTACAAATCTCAAGGCTAACTCAGGCACAAAAGAAAAGCAAAACTCTCCAGTGTCCTTTGACACACATTTGTGACCCTTGCCTACAAAAAATGCAAAGGATCCCACCTGTTACACCCAGCTATAAATTTCAGAGTGGAACTGACAGCCCAAAACATCAGAGCATACACCCCTTTTGATGTCCTAAGAGCAGCAGCAAAAAGTGCCCCACTTTCCAAATTCAATAACCCCATAGCAAAGAGTAAAACACTTCATAGGAAATGTGTGCCAGAAGGTCACAGTAATTAAATTAGAGCACAGTTCTTCCTGCCTAGCTCAGGAGACCAAAAAACCAGCACAACAGCATTGGGTTACAAAAAGGTGAGAGCTACAAAGAGACCATTATAATCTGCCAAACCTCTGTGCCAAGGGCCAAGGACATCAAGGAAGCTACTCCTTTTAGCTTCTCCCATGTGTGAGCTCATTATATCCATCAGTGATGCAGAACTCTGAGAGGGCCCAGATTTAGACAAGTGAAAATAACCAGCAGCTTGGATCAGGTTGCATTTGTGCAGCAGAGGGGAGGAAGGTGCTACTGGGAAGAAGTTCTATTCCCTTTTAGTTAATAACAAGCTTCCTTTCTCAGCTACTTGATCAAACTCATAATTACAGGCAGATCTCAATGCCTGGTGACAAAATTGAGCCTTTAAAAGTCCCTGTGTCTTTGATCACTCCTTGCAGTAAAGTCCACCAGTTTTACACTGTTTAAAAAATTAAAAGAGCAAACTTGTTTCTTATTATATAAATTCTGTCAGTGAGTTTTTTATGTTTTTGCCCTAAACAGAGCTAGAAATCCTACTTTCAGCTAATTAGGAAGATTTAACCAACCACCCAACTTCAGAAATGTCAAAATATCTTGACATCTACAAGATTAAACAAGATTTATTCCTGATTCTTTTTTAGCCTTCTATCAACTATCAGAAATGAACATCTTATTTGCTTACATTCAACCACTAAAATCAGTTGCCTATTTACCCAATTAAAACAACCCAAATAGGTTACTAGGGGATCAGTGTCAGGAATATTTATTTTATGATCAGATTACATTTGGTCTTTCCACACTTGTTGGAAAGGCAGAAATCTATCCAGAAGAACTAAAATCCAGCTTGCACTTCCAGGAGACTTTCATTTACTCAGGCTCTAAGGCATCATTACACACTGCTAGTCAGTAGGAAAAAAAAGAAAAACAAATACAACACCCAAAATCTTCACAAACAAATCTTAAGAACCATTCAATGTAAGTAAAAACCACTAAGAGCACCACAGTGGTTATGGCTCAGAACAATAAATCACACAACATATGTGATGCTGCAAATGCTACCAAAGAATGCACGTTATAATTAATATATTTGCCAAAGAGAAACTTATCTGCATTTTTATAATCACTCTTCCCAGCAAAAAGAATAACTGCTGACATGAATGAACTTGCAAGTGAAAAATGTGACTCAGAATAGCAGCTATTTTTCTCCTCTAACAGTGGTTGTACTCATCTAAATACAAGAGCCCAATGTTTATTCCTTCAAACCACTTTCTGTTGCAGAAGTAGTTACTGAAGCTTTTTTCTCTGCATGAAGCATCTACAATGAACCTCAGAAACCTGTAAATGACAGCAGCAGTATTGAACAGTGTCTCAGCATTCTGGTGAGAGCTGTTAGGGACATTCAAGCTCCAACACTGATTTGGAAAGGCTGGAAAGTTACAAAGGCACAAGATGCCCTTGGAGTTTAATGTAAAATTCATCAAATGCTCCTCTGTACTTGTAGTTTGACTGGCCAGGACAACTGTGCCCCTTACTGAATTTCAGATCCTGTGAGAAACAAACAACCCTCACCATTTTAGATTTGACCCATTCGTTGGGATTTTTTTCATGGCTAATTATCTAAAAATATTTCCCAAAGTTTTTTTAATTGTAGAAATGCACCCTCTTGATTTCTAAAGCAAAATATTATGTTAGACTAAAAAACATGAAAATGTCATTATTTCAATATCAAAAAAGAAGCAACATTACTACTGTAACTATTTGGAATCCTTAGAGATCTTCTAACAATAGGAAGAGAAAATAAAGATGAACCTGGTCTTTCAAATTTCCTGTTGAAAGTGACAATGAAAGAACAAGACTTCACAATAAGCCAAGATGTTTCTTTTCTATTTATTTGTCCAATAGAGAAGCCTTGAGAGAATTAACTGCTAGCATACTGATTTGGCAATAAATGAGATTTGAAACGTCACTGGAGAATGCATCCCAAGGCAACTGCTCTCTTTGTGGAGCTGCTGACTGGTGCTTTATCACCAAACATCAATCAGGCAGACCCAGTTCTGACAAGAAATGAAACTGCTGCAGTATTCATTGAAGTGCTCCCCCAAGAGCATTTCTCATATACGAAAAGCTTTTGTGCTAAGCTCAAGTCTAAAACCATACATGTGACTGTACCCCTGGACTGAGGAATGTATCATCCCCTGCCATTTACTGAAGCTTTCAGCAGAGAGCACTTCCATCACTTTGTGCTCGTTGCTGAATTTACTTACAATGACTCATAGTGTCAGAAACAAGCTGGTTACCAGCACCCACTTCCCCCCAGTTTCTATCCCCTGCTCCCCAAACTGGATTAGGTTACATCTTCATTTCTTCTTTATGCTATTATAAACCAGCTAAGATATCAGGTGTGGAATTTATTCCCTTCAACTGCAGAAACAGCACAAGCCTCACAGATTTTAATGTTTGCCAATATTAACATGAGCCAAACACCTCTGCCCTAACTCCTGGACCCCTCCTAGTGATTCAAATCAGCTACAAGTGATGCAAAGTCCAAGAGATCTCAAATTCAGCTTTTTACTTCCTGCCTCCAACACAGAAGCCTTCCTGTAGCATAAGAGAGCTCAGCAGGAATTTAAAATGTAAATGTTTGTGCATGTGTGTGCACAAACAAGTGGGAAGAGCTGATCTTGCTACTATTTTACCCCTTCTGCTATCTGCTAAGATTGCTTTCCAAATAAAATACCAATCTAATCCTATTTCTTAATCCTACTGTATTAAATAATAACTTTTCAGACTTCCTAGTTCAGATTAAGATACAATTTACCATATATCACAATTTTACATCTCTATCCAATGATGCACTTGGCAGAGTACTTCATTGTTTCTGCAGTACTTCTAAAATGGTGTGGTCCTTTAAAGATGCTTTGAAAAGATGCACAAAGAATTTTAAGAAAATGTTTTCTTATTTGCAAAGTCAGCAACACTACAGACAGCAAGTTATCAACAAGAAATAGCTGGCCATACACTCCTGCTGTGACCAGAGCCAATACAAAATGCATCAAGCACATTTACTGCATTCATTACCCTCTATCTGTGGTTTGTGTTTTTATAAGCAAGTTTATTCTCCTGACCTAGTCAAAAGGATAACCTTATTTGGGATTTGTCCTCTGATTTCCTGCAGAGATGCAATTGCCAGAGAAGAAAAACAAGGAATGTTAATTGAAAGAATGGCTGGTACATTTTATCATTGGTAAGGTAGCAACTTGTTTTGGGGGGGGAAAAAACCCCAAAACAAAACCCAACACAAACCCCTCATACCCAGAACATCACGAGACCAAGAAGAACATGGTGCACTTTGTCAACTCTACTTACAAGTTAAAAATCATTTTGCATAAACTGGAGAGATTTTTCCTAGTGGCTTCTTCAGACAAGCTGGTGCTACCTGAGGGCTTAAGAGAGGTCTTCTGTTTTGAAACAGAAAACCTGGAACAAAGCCCCAGCTGCCACATACCTGTACTGCACTGTCTCCTATGACCTGACGGATTTCCCTCAGTGTCTGGTAGTGCTCCAGCAGGTGATCACCACAGATTATATCCACCTGGGAAAAAACACAAGCATGGTTAAGGCCAACTTGCCTTTGGAGTAGCAAAACATTATCCAAGCCCTTTCAATTTTATTAGCAGAGTTCAATGCCATCACGTTAGACACTAAAGCCATCTTTGCCTCTGTTGTCCAAATGTATTTACCATTTACAGCATTACTGCACTGCCCTAAAGCCTTTCATGGCCCTGACCTGGGCTCACTGCTGAACAGAGAGGACAGTTTATTGTTTCTCTCACTTTGGTGTGTCCACTGAAACAAGCTCTTTAGTAATAGCTGTGATGAATTTAATGGGAATGTAGATAATGTATTAGAACAACCACACAAACATCTGCCATCATTCATCAGTTGCAAAAGAGGGTAACTTGTTTGTGCCACCAAAAACAAAGAGCCATTGCCACCCTCCTCCTTATCTAAAGGGAGAAAACACCTGACTATTTCCACTTAATACTTTGGAAGAAGTGCTTTAATAGAAAGGAGCATCTTGGTGCATGCCATTGTCAGCAGTTACATGACAGTCCCCTTTCAGCATGCACTCAGTCAGTATTCCTGGGGTGCAGCTGCAGGGCATTCTCAGCAGTTCCATGCACTGTACTCTGCTGCAGCTGAACTCTGTCAGTGGTGCCTGCAATTTCATGGGAGGCACTTGTTTAGTAAATACTCACAAAACCAGTAATTTTGTGGAAAACACAAACCTTAATCAGGTATTTTGAATTCCTTGTCTTGATTATTATGAAAAATAGGCTTCTCTATAAAGTTACCATGTGTTTACAGTGTATAATGTAAATCCAGTCTCTAACATTCCAAATTAGAGCAGCTAACACAGCACTGTTTTTCTCTTTCAACTGGAGCTTGCTTACATTTTCCTTATGAGCAATTTCTAGATAAGAAAACGAGAGTGCTCTCATCTATGAATTGACAAGACCTCAAAATTGAAGATAAAGAGCATTGATAATGAGCAGTCCCACAACTTTCTGCAAGGGAACTACCTAAGCCCTGCCCCTGCAGCAGTGGGAGCAACTGCAGTATCATGATGTATTGGTTTATACGGCCACCATCCACCACAGGATGTGCTCTGTGCTGCAGCTGTTCCACTCCCCCAGATTTATTCTCCTCTGCAGCCTGACCCACTACCTCTCTCTTGTTCTTCATGGAAAGATTTAGTAAGATTTGTGCTGGCAGACCACATTGTTCTGAGACTTGGGAATGCAGGAATTCTACTCCTCAGAGGTTCAAAAAGGACTAATTTACTGCACCACCTATATTGTATAAGAATGATGCAGAATACTCTCTTTGTGTTTGATTCTTAATGTGCAGAAGATGTAACCTGCTTAGCAGCATTTCTGCTTTTAGCTTCCAGGAAGTAAAAATTTTGTGGACATAATAGTAAATACTGATTAGCTATTGATCCATATATACTCATATACTGAACATCAACACTTGATGCATTTAACATAGTACTCAAAAAACGTATTTATTTTCCTTTTGGAAAACTGTCTGCAGTTCTTTGTGCTATCTTCCATGCATTTTTAACCTCTACAGTTATTACTGCAGGAAGACAAACATGACTGCTTTGCTTTCCAGACATATGAGTTTAATTACTTTTGCTTGTAAGCTTACTTCTACAATTTTTATAGCATAAGGCACTGAAAACTCAATCTTGCTCCCAATGAAACATATCACATAAATGTTTTATATATTCTACAGAAATAGAAAATCTAATCTGTTTGACCAACACAGGATGCAAATAGACAGTCACAGCTGCTGAGAATCTCTCAGAACAGAATTAGAATGCTTGTTTGAAAGTACACTGTTTTACCTGCTGCTCCAGTTCCAAACAGCAGTCATTAAAGAGTCAGTGTCTAATAATAAATTGAGACAAGCTTCACACATTTAATGTATTAGAGTTCTCTGAATAACAAATGCTTAATCTCCTAATTCCAGCCCCAAAGCCTGAAATTCTGCCTGCTAATTGTTATGCTAGCACTTCTTCTATAAGGACATGAGAACAAAACATACAATAAAAAAATAAATCTCAGGTCAGTGCAAAAAATAAGTTGTGAAATGTGTCTCAGAGGAATCCTTGTATCATACAGGAATTTATATGTTCCATTACAAAAGAGGCATCAGCACCATCACTGCTATGAATTTACTAAAATTTCAAATGACTGGTAAAATTGAAGCCAACTACTACTGATTGCCTGAGACAGCAGTAACTGCAGCTTGACATTTTGTTGAAAGGAAGCATGAAAGTGAATCTGCTGAATACTCAATCATTTCTGTTAAAAAATTCTTATTAAAATAAAGTAGGTTTTGCATTATGCCATTTCTTTTCTTTTGGTGACATGTCTGCTATTAGAGCTACTTCTCTAAAAGCCACCATAACAGACAATTATAAATTCATGTTCACTAAGTAAGACAGATATAAAAATAGAAAAAGTTCATGCAAGGGACACCTCACATCAGACTCATCCTAAGGGAGAATGTGGCCCAGAAAACAGTAGGCTTCAATCAATTTTTTCTATACCAACTCATAGGCTTCAATCAATTTTTTCTATACCAACTCATACTATCTAGGGAAGGACAAGGAAAACACAAAGTTTTAGAGACTGACATGAGTATTTGAGCTAGTTATTTAAAAAGCTGTCAGAATTTCCTATTTCCTCTAGCTGCTGTTTACTTTCCAGAGGCCCTGGATGCTTTTATTCCAGGGTCCAAGATGGCATAAAGGAATTGTATCAACAACTGCACTGTGTATGAGCACAGAGTCCTTTCTCCCAGTGTCCCCCCAGACTGCAGCTCACACACTTTTAGGAATGCACATCTGGTAACAGAACATTTCTGTTCCAGCAGCCACATTAATGAATTCCAAGTAGCTGAGCTGCAAGTCTTTCAGCAGCTTCTCTCATCCTTACAGAAGAAATAGCAGGAAGGAATTTTGCAGGAGGAGCTCAAAGGAAATCACACTCTAAAGAAAACTTCTGATACCACAGACAAGATTCTACTGGATTCCAAACACCACAAGCTGTATTTAGCTCCTATCAGATGTTACCTACTTAGCTATTACTGGCAATTTCAGTTTCTAAAAAAATATTTTCACCCTCTCCCAATTCCAGCAAGAATATTCAAGAGAGATAAACACATACAGAAAAATTAGTCATTGCCCAAAGCACAGAGTTCAAAACAAAGCATCAGAAAGAGGAAACTACAGTCTGCCAGCTCAAGTGGTAGATAAAAATACACAAAGCCTTAACCTTCAGATAAACTAGGGAATTTAAATCATAATCCATTTGCAAATGCTATTACAGAAGTCTGAAAGCAATTTGAATTCTCAGAATAGGGAAAAAAAGAACAAAGGCAGTAGTTTAAAACTGCTTTTTAGACTTCTATATTTACTGCCACACACGAGCCAGATGGCTTATTTCACATTTTCATTAACCTAAATCCATTGCACTTGTGCAGGTCAATGAAGAAGGGCAAGTATTAGCTCAAATTCCATGTGAAAAGATTAAGTCAGAGATGTCCAAGCAGAGCCAGGAGTTCAGGGGGTGAGTAACATACCTTCTATCACTTGGTCACCAAATGAACTCTAACAGGGAATGACTGAAACATTCTCAAACAGGACCTTTGCAGACTGCCAAACTCAGGTGATATTCAGGAGGAACTGGCTGCACTCACAAAACAACCACACCTAGTGTCCTTAGGAGAAGTTTCAGCAACAAGCCAAAAATGCAATTGATATACTGGGGAGATAAAGGAGGAAACACTCTGTCCCTTAAGTCCCAAGTGAGACACAAGTCAACACTATTGCAATAAATCTTCTGTAGGTAAAGGTAGTAAAAAGTACAGCAAATGTAGTGCATATTAGCTCAATATGTCTGAAACTTAAGTTTCTGAAAGAAATTTCCAAGCTTTCCAAGGAAACCGAATTCTTGGACTCCTGTTCCAAGCTAAACACACCAAACTCAAGACATTTTATATAAAATCTCTTATTTTAGGTAATTAAGAGAGTTAGAAAATAATAATAAAGAAGTAATATTAAAAGGAAGAGCTTGTTGTCCAAAGTTAGTATTTATTTCTTTTTTAACATAGTTTGGGGAAGCTGACAGGAAACAAACCACTGCAGTCCTCAACACTTCCAAATTTCTAGAACAAACTAAAAAAAGCAGCAAAGAATCTTCTACATTTAAATTCCTTGCACATATGGCTTGTAACCTAGTTCTCTAAATTTTTCTGCTTGTACTAATTCAGAATCAGGTTCTCCCTAATTTTGTTTTAGTTTATTAGTCATCCTGGGAAGCTGGAGTAAGACATGATTCATTAGTCTTATTAATTAGGCTTATTAATCCTCAATGACATGTCTGACATCTCTTTCACTTTCTGCATGTTTACTAACAAACCATCAGCTTCAGCTGTGTACTACCATGAGAAGGTAACAGCTCAGTACATTCACTCCTTTAATCTCCATATGACAAAGAAATGATCACAGGCTAGAAAGAAATACTTCCAGCTTCATTTCCTGAATTTCCAATTTTTTTAAAGATGAGCCTAGATATCAAGACAACAGTCATGACTTGGGACATAAAAATCAACTGCAGGTTTCTAATGACCAAAAAATACTTGCTAAAAAAAAAAATGGGAGCACATCATTTAAGATGAGGAAAAAAAGGCAGCCAAGGCATCTGTTTGAAGAAGAAAGAAGATTTATCATTTCCTCCAAACAGGCAGGACTTGCACAGAAGAGACCAAGGATTAGAACCAGCCAATGATGGTGCCTTACACCTTACACAATGGCAAAGTAGACACTAGCAGAGATAGGAGTGACTGGCTCAGCATCAAGAACATCTTGAGAAAGGACACCTATGAAATCATCAGCTTTTGAGATTTAGTAACATTAACCATTTAACCAAGGGGATTGTACCTGTCTGGCAAAGTCCAAGTAGAAAGTAACTAATGAGTGAAAAAAATCCCAAGTTCTCTAACAGATGATCTTAAGATTTTACAATCTGGAAGACACCCAGCACAGAGGCCTGGGGTGACTTTGAAAGATGGACACCTGCAGTTTACAAGACAGATGCTCAGTGTTCCTGAAAATTGAGATTCTGATGTACTATTTAAGAAAATCCAAACAAACAAAACAATTCCTTCCCCTCAAATAAACAACAACTAAATAATGCAAGAAGTTTCTCCAGCCTCATTTTGAGGATACTTGTATTTGTTTAGAATATCAAGTCACCACCATGTAAAAGCTACAGACTCTCACTGAGAGGAAACCAGCAAATAAAAATACATTAACTCCTCTGCAGGATGAATAATTTATATTTGATTTGCTTTGTCACCACTGAAAAGGCAAGCAGCATGAATACTCACTACTGAGGCACAGCAGTCATGCTGTATTGTCCCACAGTTACTGCTGTATAAAAACAGCCTTAACTCCAAACCCAGCACTAAACTTCTACCATCTGCCTATTCACAACAGCATCACCTTGATCTTCCAGGAACTGACAGCTTTAAGAATTATTTACACACTACAGAACTCTTGTACTTTCCCAACTGAATGGCTGCTGAAATACACAGAAGAATTGGAAACTGGTTTTGACAAGCAGTTCCTCTCAAAATGGTTGAGAAATATGAAGCTAAATTCTTTTGTACCATATTCTGTTCCTTTGAATTCTTTTTTGGAGAAAAGTGTCTGTAGTTGCATTCATACACATTCCAACACATCCATCCATAGTGTAATTCCTTCTTAGCCCTTGTTTGCCTTCAGTTAAATTTTACTATTATTCACCTTGCAGCAGTTGCATCATGCCTTTGCATGCTCCCACATTCCCACTTTCCTGCCTAGTTTTACCTTTGAAACAGCAGAATCTCTTGGCTTTGAATTTCTTTGGCTGAAATTTTACAAGGCACTTTAGAAATTCTGTCCAGTTAGTAGAGTACTATGAACATCTGAATAGGTTGCAAATGAGTTAGAAGAGTTGTTCCTTGCAGATCACAAAATTGCAAACAATTCATTTTTTAATCCTTACTGTATAAAAACCTCTAACATTACTTCTAGAATCTAATGAACAATGGAAATGTCTGTCCAAAGCACAGACAACTTGTGACTGCTACAACAAGGATGTACCTGACAAGCAGGGTCTAGATCCATTTTTCTTCTGAGGAATTTCTCCACATGTCCAATTGTTGCCTCCCCAGAAACACGCACAAACTTCTTTTCCAAAGGCTGCACAGAATAAATAAAGATTTTAAGTTAAAGATTTTGCCATTAATCCCTCAAAAACTCCAAAGTCAAGCAACAGCCCAATAACAGGGAAACAGCTTACACTTTTGAACCCTTCTCTGATCTACCTGCACATTACCTCACAGGGAATATGTATTAAGACTCCAGATGCTGTTAAAACATTTAAAAATTAATAAGCAACTGATTATTTTTAAATGTTTTAAACAGTCCTATGTTCTGTGTGGCCCAAAAACCCCAGGGTAAACAAGGCAGAAAGAAGGGCAAATATGAGACAGAAAGGGTAGGAGGGGATACTGAAGATGAAAAAAAAATACTGTGAAATATGAGGATAAAAAGAAGAAAAAAAATGCTGGGTAGGTGTGATGTTATAAAACAATAGGTTTGAAATACACTGTAATACAAGATTGGTTATCATTATTCTGATAAAAGCTCCAGCTGCACTCAGTATAAGAAAACCAAACTAAATACATTCAGGTTATAATTATTCCTGAAGTAAACTTTAAGATAAAAATTTAATAATATTTGTACCTTAAAATTCCCTGTGCCTTCATTTGCTCTGAAAAAACAGAAGAGTAAATAGTCAACATTGCTAAGGTTGTAAGTTATTAATATCCTCAAACTCTTTATGATAACAGTGACTTAGTGATTTATAAGTCTTGCATATCCAACTTATTTTCCAAACTGAGGCTCTTCCTTTCATTAAATTGCTATACATAAAATAATATTGGACTGAATTGATGTATCTTTTTCTCCTACCCTTTGCATTTCTGCTCAATTTTTCTTGTAAATTCAGCTATTTAGGATGTCAAGATTTCTCTACATAAAATATGAATAAAACCCAATGTAGGCTAAAGTAATTTTTAAACACAACATAACTTTAATTTTCATAGGACTAGGTTGCAATATTGATGCTGCTTAAACCTCCATGCTTCATGATCCTTGATATTTGGAACCTTAACAGACAGTACCTAAGAAGTTACTGACAGAACACACCCAACCACCTTAGGGGTCCCTGGGCAGGATGTTGGCCTTCCAGACTGTCCACATGACAATATTAATGCTAATGCTATCTAAGAACTCAGGAAAGCAGCATGTGTTTCTCTGGAATGTGAAATACATACAAAGGTGGCAAATAACCAAATTTCCAGCTGGCTTCAGCCAAGGTTCACTGATTTGCACAGCCTGAGCCATGTGCTCCATCACTGATCACCTATCTCCTTCTTGTAGTGCAATGTGAAAATTTCTCAATTAATTAAGGCCAATACATGACATTTCATTATTCTTGCATTGCATTAGCAAGTATGCACATATGAGAGAGGAAACACTGCAGTATTTTCATTGCACTGGAGAGGACAAAAAAAATAAAACATTCCTAAAATCAGCTGACCACTTGCTACAGCAAGCAAATAAAACACTTGTGCAGACCACACATTAACGTGGCACTTCAAGTTACAATGATTGAGTATCTCCACTTCTAAATATGTACCAGGTATCAGACAGAGCTAAGTAAATCTGTCATGAACTAAGAAACAAACATAACAAAGCTTTTTCACTGCAGCTGTCATTTTCTTTGATACAGTTCCACAGCCACCGGTGACCACATTATAAACTGTAGAGACACAATGTAGACAGTCAGACTTTCAAGGTAACAATTTCTTCTGGCTGGTCCAATCTATTCCAAGTTTTCATTCTTCAAAATGCTTTATTAATTTCTCATTGCCAAGACAATCTCTTTGATTTTGACAATATAAATTATCAAAGGCTAAAAAAGTCACTAAAATAAAATACAAAGTAGATGGTGTTAAGCCATCTTTTTTTGTTAAAAACATTCTGTGCTTCCCTCTATATTAATAAAAAAACCACAAAAACCCACAGTGGACAGTTCCATATGGTATAGATGATATTTACACAGTATTACCTGCTTTGCTGCCAATGCTGGACATATAAAATAAAATTACCAAAAAAGCAAATATAACAGATTCAAAAGTCATCTTGTTTATCAGGCAGACACCAGTTTACCAGGCTTGAGGTCTGAACTGACTTCTGCAAGTCAGGCATGAAGAAAATAAAAACCGAAATTAAGGCAGGTAGGTGGATTCACAATGTTAAAAAGTTTCTACTATTTGAAAGCCACTAAGTGTTTCCTGTGAGCACATCCAGCATTAACAGTGCTGCCACCCACAGGGATCAGGGATCAAGGACTGGAACAGACAGGGATTTATCTGCTCAGTTTACTGAGACTGCACGACTTTGCTGAAAATAAAACACATCTACATTTTAAAACTATACTTCCTAGGAAGTATACATCTTAAACATTTAATTATCTGCATCCTCTACCTGTGCATAGCTGGCTGTCACTATCACACTGTAAGTTAAAGCTGGCTCCCCACTACTATCTGAGATGGAAGAAATGCACATTTAATGAAAACCAAGAGCCAGTTAATGGCTCCTCACATGCCAGCAGCACCCTCATGTCAGTCAGTTGCTCTTACATTTGCCCACAACTCACCCAATAAACTCCAGAAGTATGGAAATGTCAAGTTCTGGTGGGATCTGGAACACTGAACCCAGAACCTTTCGGGGTCTTCCTCTGCTCGGTGGAACTGGCTGTGGGACAGCTAAAATATTCAAGCAGCCAAAATGCAAAGATAACTTGAAATAAAAGCAGCATAAGATACTAACATGCACTGAGCAAAACAGAATAGCTCACCAGGGAAGAAAGCCTATGCAATTCATCCTCTTTTTTTATTACAAATCAGCTGTTCCTACATTCTGTGCTGTGTATCTGAATCAGAATTTTAATAGCTTTCAGCACAGCACTCTCCAAAGAGCTTTGTTTGATAGGAAGACACAAAATAATTAGAACAGTCCCCCACTGTTCAGCAGACTTTGAAGCTCTCCTTTTTACTCCTTTGTAATGTCTATTACTTATTAACAGCCAGAAAATAATATTAAGGCACATTCTATATATATTTCCTGGTTGTAAGCAAAATATGTAGCTTAAAATAATTCAACTGTGATCAGGGTTTAAGTGCTGCCAATTCATCTATTTTTGTAATCTGAGATCTGTAGCAAGTTATAAATTCCAAATAACTAAGAATCCCATATTTCCAGCAGTACTTCCACCTTCAGTTGTGAACTAATATTTCAAAGAAAGCCCTTAAGAATAAATGATATGGTAAGTATTTTCTTAACAGTGTTTCTTAAAGTGATTACAGCTTACCTGGTTTGGGTACTTCTAATCCTCTTTCTTTGTAGAAGTCATGCATTTGTTTTTTCTCTCCTGAAAAAAATGCACAATACAGGCTGAAATGTTTCAGATGCTGAGAATAGCCATTCTCATTGACCAATTTTCAATGGTTAGAGCAGCAAAAACTTTTTACAGACCTTCACCATCACTACTATTTCATGAGGCTGAGATACTTAAGAAACACTGACTAAAATTTTGTTAGTAAAAACTGGGAGAAAATCAGAGAAACTGGCCATAAATAATACTGAAATAGCTGCAAGAACTAATATCCTTCTGGCTGTCATGCCTTGTGACACAACATGGTATTTTATAACCAGTTCACATAGAGCACAGTACTTTTTATACTATATTTGTATATACACATATATTTTTATATATGCACATATTTTTTACATATGTGCTCATGGTATACAAAACAATACTATCAATAGTCCATACATATCCACTGGATTGTATATTTCACTCAGCCCATCCAGGGGGACTGTGAAGGATCATTGGCTCCCAAAGTTGAAAATAAATGAGACAGAAAACACATCTAAAATCAGGCAAGTAACATGGCAATGAGGAAAAGATAAAAGCATTTGAGAGAATTGGTCTTGGCATTTTTTTCTCCTGAGCCAAGTGAACTTTTTACACAGAATGATATTATATAGTTCTACTAAAGTAAGAGGAACAAATTGTGAAATATTATCTGCATGTTTATCTGGAAACAGTGACAGCTGTGTTTCATGAGAAAAGGTACACAGCACTACCACAATAGCATTCAGCAGCCAGAAAGATGCCAGCTGTCACAGTTAATTAATTACAACTTATAACCAAACATCACAAAACTATTTTGAAGAGTCCAGAGAAGTAACAAGGCTTTGAATTACTCTTTTTTCTATTCTTTTCAATCTCTAGATAGTAATGTAAAAGAGAAAGGGACTTACTTTCCTCCAGATTGACAACTAATTTGTAGACTATATCTTGCAGTTGTCGGTCCAGTCTATGAAATAGGAAACAAAGAAAAAAAAAAAAGAAGAGTCTTTGGTGTGCAACAAAATTGTTTCAGTAAACTGTAACAAAGATGCCAAATACAACATTAAAATGGGATGTGTATGGAGTGACAGCACCACCCTTCATAATCAGCTCAAAAAACCAAAACTCAGATTTTTGAGTTAATAAATACACCATACCAAAAAGTCTTAATCATAAAAGGAAATCAAAGCAAATAGTTAAGTGCTTGTATTGCCTGTAACACTGAGCAAATGCAAAAAAATACCCAGGGCAGGGGTAACAAACCCTAGAAATGGATACAAACTAGATAAAACAATAGAGACTTTTAATCTTAATTACTGTGGTGAAACTCTTACTAGTAAAGGACATAATTGTTTCTTGTAACCATTCCTTTGTTTAAAATAGGACAGCACTGCATGTCTGTAGAACAAAACACTTAAAAGCAAGTAGCAAATCTATAAAAATGGGACAAATTTATTACCTGATATTATAGAGGGGCTGTGTCTGATGTACAACAATATTGCACTTTGGGCATCTGTTGCTATAGTAGAAGTGTCTCACGATGCAGCTTTTACAAACTGTAAAGAAAAGAAACCCCACAGGAGTCACATGTCCATTACACAGTGCCATCTGTTCAGGCAGAAGGGGTAAATACACCCAGACTTGCCATACACCATTTGTCAGAGACAAAATGAAGTCACTGAACACTCCTAATCCAATGGATGCAGGGTGAGAGTTCAATGTGCATGTAGAACACGAGCAGGGCTAAGGCAGAATATTGACTGCTGAAAAGCACCCTACAAACACTTTCAGTAGAAACAAGGCAAGAAATCATAACTCTGCTACTTTCATTGTGTTTTACAAGTCCTTTAAAAACTTGGAAAAATGCTATTAAGTGGAAATACCTAGAATAAATAACCTATTATCAAGTCAGCTCCCCATCTGCCTGAACAGAGGAAACTTTTCCGTAACACTTACCAGGAGAGTTCTAAGACACCACAGCTGCATTTGCAACTCTATGCTGTCCTTAGAAACAGTTGTGCCTCTTTGTAAATTGCAAAGTGTGCTGAATACTTTGTGCTATAGAACAAACTAGAGAGTAGTGCTCCGAAAAAGGGAAAAAAAAAAGAAAGTTTTCCGTCTATGCAGTGTGAATGTTTGGGAGATCTAGTAAACCAGGATTCTCAGATTCAGGTATGAGCATGGGTGTGGCTGAAAGAGTCAGCTTCACAAAAGGTGTTTTATTAGTTTGGAGAGAAAACAGTTCTTTAGCACTGGGAAAATTGTTGGCTCTAGGATCCAGGGAGAAAAATAACAAGACAACCACATTGAAATCAGTTATTTATTTCCTCCCTGCTTCCATTCATCAGATTATGGACAAACTGTGCCACGGGTGCAGACCACTGTTTCTGTATCTGAACTGGTACTTCCACAGGAGCTTATGAGGTTTTGTGAATTTAAATAACAGCTTAGGAAACTTTCCAGTCCATTAAAAGCAAAGCCACTCAACTTTCTTTTCTCAGTTATACACTCAAATTCCCGGAGCTTATTAAAAAAAATAATTAAGAAAATGTATGTAGTAGCTCTGAGTTTGTCTTACTTGGGCTTTATCTTCTCCTATATCATCTTCCTTCTTAATATGGAAAGCTGACTTCATGATTCATTGATTGAATATATCTTGCTTAAGGAACAGAATAAACACAACACACGTTCACTTCAAACAGAAAATTATTTTTCTGAACTCAGAACATTTCAACAGCTGAACTGGTTGGAATTTGCAGCTAAACCCTTAGGCAGACAATACTGACTGATACTTACAGGTGTGCAGACATTCTGTAATAGTTGTAGCATCGATAAAGTAACCTTTGCAGATGGAACACAGGATGTAGGGAGTCAGCTCTGCGAGGTTTATCATACGCTGCAAACAAAAATTGGTGAGAGTTTGAATACACAGACTAAGCCACGAAATTCCTTGACTGCAGCTTCCAAAATACCACAGCCTTAAAACCACGGGAAAAAAAGGGATCAGTATGTTACAGGAATGGGTTTTCCTAACAGATCAGTTGCTTCTTGTGTAGGGCTCATTTTTTAAAGACTTTTACCTAGTCTTCTAAATTGAGCTTTTTGACAACAGTAATGCAATTTGTTTCATGAATCTTACCTAAAAAGAAAACTTTAAACAATTAATCATTTTGGAAAAAGTTATTTTGGATAAACTCTTTTAACAAAATATCACATAGCCAGCAAGCTTGAAGTGGATATGGGTGGCAAACAACATCAGTATTTAAAAATGCTCAGCAATGCTCAGTTGGAGTCCCAAATCTAGATATAGAGAGAGTTTGTATGACAAGAGACAGTCATCTCTTGTTTGTACACACAGTTATGAAATATACAATACACATAGAAGCAAAGGCTGAAATCTCATTGCTTTGAATCCTGGTCATGAAGAACATTTACCGGGAATGCACACAAGTAGTTCCACAACAGCTTTCCTGGCTGAATAACACTATTTCAAAAAAGAACAAATTTCCTCAAGAGCGCCGATCTGAGATGTGTCTGAAAGAGGTGACACATTAGATTCTTACGTTTCCCCTCGTCCCAAAGGCCGACTAAAGGGCTTTCTTTCCCTCAATAGCAGCATTCATTTCGCCCACGTGCCACCGTCTACCACGCTCAACCACGCTGAGAGTTTGTAAGGGCTTCACTTAAATGAGACAGAGGAAGCGAACTCGGGTAATAATAAAATAAATATTAAAATAATCATAATATTTTTTAAGAAGTAAAAATAATAAAAAGTCCATTATGACACGCGGGGCACGCCGGGAGCGGGGCCTGGCGTGCCCCGGGCACCCTCCCACCCCCTTTACCTCCCGGTCGTCGTCCGAGTCGAGCTCCCCATCATCCGTTCCGAACCGAGCCCTGGTGTCGCTCTCCATCTCCTCCTCCTCCTCTTCCACCTCCTCTTCCTCGTCGTCTTCGTCGTCGTCGTCCTCATCGCCGCTGGATGAGGAGCGACCCCGCTCGAACTCGAAGGGGTGGGAGCGCGACCCCGAGCAGCCGGGGGCCCCCTCCATGTCCCGGTCCTCATCAGCCGGGCCCAGGCCCTGGCCCGCGCCCGCTGCATCCCCGCCCGACAGCGCCGGGACCCCGGATCCGGTGTCTCCCTCCATGGCCACGGACCGGGTCTGGCACGGGTCGGTCCGCGGCCCGGGGCGCCTGCGTGGGAACGCCGCGGGGCACGCTGGGAAATGTAGTTCTACAGAACGCACGGCCGCGCTCCCGCACGTGCGCTGAGCCACAACCGGTGTGCGTTTATAGCCCCACGTTTTGGGATTTTTTTTCTTAATTTTTTTCCCCCAAGCGACTCGCCAATGAACGCTTAATTTTTCCCGAAAGACTGTCAATCACACAATACCAGTTTCATTCAAAATATGGTTTTAATTCTATAACATCATTTAATTGCTTGGGTTGGAAGGGACCTTAGAAATCATCTAGTTCCAACAGCCTCCCATAAGCAGGGACACCTTTCACTGAAGCAAATTCCTCAAAGCCCCATCCAACCTGTCCCGGAACACTTCCAGGAATGGGGCATCCACAGCTTCTCTGGGCAACCTGCGCCAGTGCCTCAGCACTCTCACAGTAAAGAATTTCTTCCTAATATCTAATCTAAACCTGCTTTCTGTCAGTTTAAAATCATTCTCCCTTGCTCTGTCACTACATGCCCTTGTCCAAAGTCCCTCTCCAGCTCTCTTGTAGCCCCTTTTAGAGACTGGAAGGTGCTGTAGCGTCTCCCTAGAGTCTTTTATTCTCCAGGCTGAGCACCCCCAGTCCTCTCAGCCTTTCGACAAGTATCACCGAATCTCTGTTTAACAGACACCGTTAAAAAAGAAGCAGTATTAGAAATATCCGGACAACTCAGCGGTCCGGCCGTAATTACGTTAATTGTGCCGCCAGTCCAAGGCCATCCCCGGTGCACTGCAGGGAACCCCGCAGCGTTCACAGAGCCCCGCAGTGCCCATACGGTTCCGTCCCCTCACACCGCCCCGGCGCCGCCGCCCGCCACCGCGGCCCCGCTGCCACAAAGCGCTTCCGCCAGCGTCGCAAAGCGAAGCCGCGCGCCTCTGGAGGCAGCGGCAGCGCTGCCCTTCCTTTGCCCTCACTGTCGCAAGGGCGGCCGCGCCTGGCGGCAGCCGTGCGCCGCCGGCGAATGGAAGGCGGCGCAAGATGGCGGCGCTGCATGAGGAGCCGGCAGAGGTGGCGGTGGTGCAGCCGGACCCCGAGGCGGGGACGCCGCCGCCGCCTCCCGCGGTGCCTCCTGCCGCCGCTCCCGCCGCCGCCCCGGCCGCCGCGGCGGAGGGAGAGGCGGCGGGAGGCGGTGGGGATGCGGCACCCCCGAAGCCCGCGGCGCCGGGCCCGGCCGCTTCCCCGGCGGCGTTGGACCGGCAGACGCTGGTGGCCGTACTGCAGTTCCTGCGGCGCAGCAACCTCCGCGAGTCCGAGGAGATCCTGCGCCGCGAAGCCCGCCTGCTCGGTGACGACCTGGGTGCCGCCGCCCTCAGCCCCTCCAGCGCCGGGCTCCTGGGGGGCTCCGGCAGCGACGCGGACGCCGGCGAGGCGCTGCTCGGCCGGGGCACCGGCGCTGCCACCGTCGCCATAGGAGGCAACGTCGCCACTGTCGCGACTTCCAGCCCCGGCGTGGCTGCAGTTGCCGCCGTGCCGCCGGGGAAAGGTGAGGCCCGCGGGGCGGCGGGGTCGGTCCCTTCTCTGGGCGGGAACCCCGGCAAGTGGGGAGCCCGTGTGCTGCTTGCAGCCTCGGGGCTCTCCGTTATGCTGGGACACAAGGGTCGGTGTCAGGTTCTCGGTGCCTCCGAGCGTCTACCCCGGCGTTCCGCGAAGTCCCTGGATGTCTCATTTCTCCATACAATCCGTGGAGAAATCCGTCTCTCCTGGAGCAAGGGAGCAAGGACAGGGCGTCTCTCGCATTTGCAGGGAGCACTGCGAAGCGAGAAGTGCTCCCGTTTGTATTTGTGTCCCATCACAACCGATGGAGTAGCGGGAGCAGGAAGGTTCCATTGTAGTTAGCGGGGATCGTCCCAGGTCTGGCTGCAGGGATGAGAACAGAGGTCTGGTGTACAGGCTGCTGATGTTTTGGTGAAGAAACTGTGGGATATTTGTAGGCGAGGCTTTTTGCATTTCTTATCGAGTTTGAGTACTTGAGATGTCCTTTGGATAATTAAATTCTAAGTGTTTTTAAGCAAGGTGTTCTGTGAGGCAGCTTTACTGAATAATGGAATTTCAGGAACTGCTAGTCTGAGTTCCACTGAGTGTACAGCATAAAGTCAGCTTGTTCCTAACATCAGTAGATATGATTGTTTTTATATAAAAGACCAAACAATGGAAGTGTGTAAATACTGCTGTGTAGAACAGAACTGTCAGAGTGCTCAGTGTCCCTGCTCTGTGATGGTTGTGTGGTGGTCTTGGTGAATTGTTCACTGAGTCTACTTAACTTGCTTGTCTACTGGAAGCAAAATAATTATAGTGGGTATGTCTTGCATTCTGCTCTTTGATTAAGAGTTTCTAGCCCTACCAGTAAAATAACTCATTCTCGTGATGTTAGTGGCTTCTTCCTTTACACTTAAAATCCTGGCTGAATTAGGCACTAAGTGGGCAACAGTTGGCAGGGAAAGCCCAAAAAACTGCTGGAGAGAATTGGCTGCTGGACCGATGTGCTCTTCTCACCTGCATTGTTTAGCCTTGGTGCTGAATGGACACAGGACGTGTTTTGCTCACCTGACCAGGGGGCTGTGGCCGCTGTTTGTTTGCTGGCTCTTGCAGACTGTCTGAGCAGCTGTTGTTGTTGGCTGGTGCTTTTGCAGTCGGAGGCGCGGTGGTCGTGGAGGACCAGCCGGACGTGAGCGCGGTGCTCTCGGCCTACAACCAGCAGGGGGACCCGACGCTGTACGAGGAGTACTACAGCGGCCTGAAACACTTCATCGAGTGCTCCCTGGACTGCCATCGGGCAGAGCTGTCTCAGCTCTTTTATCCTCTCTTCGTGCACATGTACTTGGAGTTGGTCTACAATCAACATGAGAGTGAGGCAAAGTCTTTTTTTGAAAGGTAATTCATTTTCATTTGTATATTTGTGTTATTTTGTGTTTGCTACTTCAGCTAAATCTGTGAGCTATTTATATACGTATACATGCATATATATTATTCTTCTCTAAAGCTGAAGAGAATTGAAAGCTCAAGTAATAGTGCCTTGGGTTGTAGTAACTGTTCTTAAATTCTTTTCCAATCTCCTGTTAGAAAGATGTGCAAACTAGTGAACTGTGCATCGTCAGAGTTTGAACCATGTTAACGGTGTGCTGATGGGCTCCTTGCTGCAAAAGTATCAATGAAGAGATTCTGCATCATAAGGGAAAGATTGTGGGGGTCAGTTTTTATCAGTGGAAGATTGCACTGAGATGCCAAAATAATGAATGCTATAAGTATTTGCTAATATCATAGGATGTACATTGAAAATCTTCAAATGAGCTTAAAGAAATTAATTTCTGGCTAATCTATAACTTTCTGTACTCTTACTATGTTTCACTCATTTATCACTTGAGAAGAAAATAGAATTTAATTTGTTTCGTGGATTCAGATGAATTGTGAAATACTATAAGCCAAAAGTATAACTTTGTTTCCCTTCAAATGGTTCTGTAAATAGTTCAAATGTCCCTTGCCATAACTATTTTATAACAAGTTGAGTGACTAAACCTTTTACCATATCTTAAATTGTTTCAATAGATTTCATGGGGATCAGGAGTGCTATTACCAGGACGACCTGCGTGTGTTGTCGAGCTTAACCAAAAAAGAGCACATGAAAGGTAACGAGACCATGCTGGACTTCAGAACAAGCAAGTTTGTGCTGCGCATTTCGCGCGACTCTTACCAGCTCCTGAAGAGGCATCTGCAGGAAAAGCAGAACAATCAGATCTGGAACATTGTTCAGGAGCATCTGTACATTGATATCTTTGATGGAATGCCTCGCAGTAAACAACAGATAGATGCTATGGTTGGAAGCTTGGCCGGGGAGGCAAAACGAGAGGCTAATAAAGCAAAGGTAGGAGACAAAGATTGTTGCACTTTTTACAAATCTCCCTGCTTTTTCTTAGTATAGATTGACAATCGTAACTTGAGATCTTAAAAGACAGTGTGAACAGAACAAAGGAAGAGAACTGTACAAACAGGTGTTGACAGGAGTAGAGAGAGATCAAAATGTATTACTGCCAGGTAGACGAAACTGCTGAATCCTTTTGGGATACAATGTTATGTTCAGCCCACTGAACTAAACTTAAACTAACTCATTAATTACTTTGGAGTTTTAAAATGGACAATTTGGCTTCCTCTTTAACTTGCTACCAGTTGTTACTAGAAGACCTGTGTGTGTAGTACCACAGTACTATACAAATAAATGAGGTAGTGTGGGGATTGCACTTTAAGGAAGGACTAAGAGATGGTGGGAGAACTTGCAGTTGTCCAGATCAGTTGGCTGGGTAAACTAGAAGAACATGTACTACATTCCTTATGGGCCAAGCAGTAATATATGCTGTAATATTAAACAGAGCAGCTTTAAAGGGTCCAAGTCTATTGCTTGGACTACTACATTGAAAAGTTACCATTAAAAAATCTGGTTTTCAGTAAGAACAGCAATTACTTTTTTGTCTTGTGTGATTTTTTTATTGGCTGGTAGGTTTTCTTCGGCTTATTGAAAGAACCAGAGTTTGATGTGCCTTTGGATGATGAAGATGAAGAAGGAGAAAATGAGGAAGGAAAGCCAAAGAAGAAAAAACCTAAAAAAGATAACGTAGGGTCAAAAAGTAAAAAACAGGATCCTAATGCTCCTCCCCAAAACAGGTACCAAGGAAATAATGTGTAGAGAAGTTTTTAAAATCCAGTCTTGTTAAACCAAACCTGCATCTCTGTTCATATGGCATTTTTATAATTTTTGGCTATTTTGGCTGTACACAGCTTTAGCCATGAGACTTCTAAGGGAGGTCATGGAACCCTTGGCTTATAACCCTCTATCGTTGCCTATCAAGTCAATCTAGATTTCCCTTGATGAACATTTACTTGGTTACTCACTAATCTTTTCAGGTCATACTCAATTGTTTATCTTGTTCCAGTACCTGTTTGAAATTCTACAAGCTATTGGCCGTTT